GCTTTTTTTCAAAGCACAGCAATACCAAATCAGCCCTTACTTTGTTCGTAAAACATTTGGTTCATCAATCCTTAGGCCTTGAAGATTTTGGTAGATTTGGTTTTGAATTTTTATAATCTTAACTTCCGCTTCTAATAAAAATTTTAATGCATGAGATATTTAAATGATCTTCTAATTTCACACAATTTTTCCTTCACCGACTACAGTATATTCAAGTTTATGCTCGTTCAATCTGGGATGATCCAATAAAAAGTTTCCTTGGAACCTCTCATAAAGTCACACATTTTGTTCAAAATCGTGGTAAAATTAGTTTAATAAAGAAAACCTCTACACAAATCTATTGTTAGAGGAAAAATTTGCTGTATTTTGAAAATGTTGAGTAAGGATGCGATGGGTGGAAAAGCCACGGTCGATGCCTGAGAAAGAGGTGGGAGATGCAGTGATGGAGGTTGAGAACGAGGGAGATGTGGAGCGATTAGGGAGATAATGGCAGAATGGGACATGTTGTGTTGGAAAATATTAGTATTTAGGTTTATTTTAGTATTTGGGTTTTTCTTGTTAGTTCAGGATTTGGGCCTAGCCCATCCAAGTTAGGGTTTCTTAGGTTTGGTTCTCTATAAATAGAGCTTGTAATTTAGTTTGAAAACAAGTCATTCACAATGTAGCCTTTAGGATTTTGTAGCCGTTTCGGCATTCTCGTTTGTTTAATAATATTCTTATTTTGTTAGACTTATTCGTTGCGCACTCTGATATTCAACTTGGTATCAGAGCAGGTTTGATCCTTCGGGATTTAATCTGCTTCGGGTTGGTATATGTTTGCTTGTTTCCGTTGTCGTTCGTGTTCAGATTGTTAGTTGGTATTGATTGTTTGCAAGAAGAAAAAAATTGTTCGTTCGTTTTTTGTCCTGTGACTTTGCTTCTGCACCTTTGAACGCCGCAACCTGCAGGAGTATCCGCAAGTCTATATTGATGCAAAGGAAAAAAGAGGAAAAAGTAGAATGGAATGAAAAAAGAAGGAAAAAAAGGGGAGTAAAAAAAAGGAAGAAACAAGAAAAAATTGGTTGCTTGTTTGAGGCCCATGCAGGCAAAGGGAAAAAAATTTGGTTGGATTTTTTGTTTGTTTGTTCGAAAGTCAGCATTGGCATCGGCATCAGCATTGGCATCGACATCGGCATTGAAATTTGGAGGCTTGCATCCACATCTACTTGTTGGCAAACTCATGTTGTGTACCGGCATCGACATGGGCATTGACATTGGAATTTGGAGACTTGCATCCACATCTGCTTGTTGGCAAACTCATGTTGTGTACTGCCATGAGTTTGACAGGGGGTGTTGGAAAATATTAGTATTTAGGTTTATTTTAGTATTTGGGTTTTTCTTGTTAGTTTAGGATTTGGGCCTAACCAATCCAAGTTAGGGTTTCTTAGATTTGGTTCTCTATAAATAGAGCTTGTAATTTAGTTTGAAAACAAGTCATTCACAATGTAGCCTTTAGGGTTTTGTAGCCGTTTCGGCATTCTCGTTTGTTTAATAATATTCTTATTTTGTTAGATTTATTCGTTGCGCACTCTGATATTCAACTGGTTGGGGTTGCTTCTTTCTTTCTTTCTCCTTTTTTTTTTTTTTAAAAAAAAAAATTTTAAATGCGATAAAGTATAAACATGGATTGCAAAACATTTTCATCTCTGAATCTTAAGTTGTGCCAAACACTTACGTGAAATTAAAAGATCATTTATTCCTAAGCAGTTAGGAAATGAAGACAATTTATATTCTTATCTTACCATTTCAGTCAAACAGATGAAGCATTTGGTATTAAAGTTGCAAAACAATTTTGGATTTTTTTTTCTATTGACAAGAAATGATAGAGAGATTTGGTTACTAAAAATATAGCGGTGGTGGCAAATGAGTATCAAGTTGTTTAAGAGACATATACAAATGCTTAAAGAAAACCTAACTAGTCAGCTCGTCTCCACAGTCAAGACACAAGACCCCTTATAGAGAGATACATAAACCATAAATCTGGCCATGTAAGGTGACTCGACCATTAGACCAAACAAGAAGCCCATGTCCATCGTGGATATCAAGTTGTATGAGAGGAGCGTTGCGTTTCGGTGGTGGAAGAACTGGGAAGTGAGGATGAAGGGAGGAGATCGACTAGAACAGGGGAAGAAGGGGAACAACGGGCCTGCAAAGTGTGGCCAATGAATTCCAAACAAGTGTAGAATTACTTAGGTGTCCTTACAACCAAGAAGAAAAGACGAGTGAGACCTTGTCACACCGGTGTGGTGTGAGCCAAAGGTTCTCTGATACTTAAGTTAGACTTAACTGTAGGAAGAAGGAACAATTTCCTTTACAGGGTTGAAATGATCATGCCTTTATATAGGGTTATGCATGGGTTTGGAGATGATTCATTAGAGCATCTTGAAGGTCCTTAAATGGTTGGTTTGAACCCTACGTAATCCTGCCCAATTAGTCAACAATAGTTGACTATGGGAGACGCAAAGGGCACCAATTAGGAATCTCGTTAAGGAATGATTTTTAACAACATTGGTCATCATGACCTATGTATGGGCCGTGATTATAAAGATGGATAGCACTTGGAGAGCCTATTAGATCTTGTATTGGTTTGGTACTAAGGTGCTTTTATAAAAAATGGGTATAAAAAAAGCTGAACTCAAAAAGATGTTTGGTAAACATTTAAAAACAACTTATTTTCACAGTTTGGGGTGAAAAAAAAAAGCTAAAAATGTGAAGCAGCAAAAATGAGCTTTGAAGAAAAGCTGAAAACGTGAAGGAGCATAAATGTTGGATTATATGTTGAATGTTGGATTATGATTTCTTATTAAACGTTGGATTATGATTTCTTGTTAAACATTGGATTGTATGTTTAAGATAAAGTTATAAATATTTTTCTTTTAAAAATAAAGTATATTTAGTAATTCACCCATATTTGTTAAGAAAATTAAATTAATGGCACATCTAGTATTATACATTTTTTGGTCATTTCACACAGTCACAACTGTTTTACATAAAAGTTTACCAAACACTATAATACTGCTTTTTTTTTCCAAAAGCACTTTTACGAAAAAGTTTACTAAATACTCTACTGTTTTATTTTACAGCTGCTTATTTTCACATCACAATAGAAGTAATTTTTTTTAAAGCACAACAATACTAAATCAGCCCCTTATCTTATCTAAAACTTCTAGGCTAACCTCGTTTGTGAATCCCACTGGGCTCACGGGATCCTTTTTTATCCATACACGGCCAATTGGGCCTACCACTCAAGGATTGTTTACTGCCAAAATCCAAGGATCAATGTCTCATTCACATGTTAATAGTTTTGGATTTTACGTGAACAATCAGTTTTATATCCTAATTTTAACTGGTATTTTAGTTAAAGCATCCATACTTTTGGAGTTGAATTTTTTTATTTTTACTTTCATAAGAGATTTCTTAATATGTTAGGAATACGACTTGGTACATCAAATGTAAAAAATAAAAAGAATCTATTAAGTACCCTATTGTACTTGGTGTACTGGACTATATCCCGGAGCACACTAAGAGCAACTCCACCCATGGAGCCCTCCCCCCTGACAATCCACTATTCAATCCACCATATTGAACAGTAACTGCCTTAAATGAATAGTAACTACCATTAATGAACAGTAATTGTCATTTACATCTCCATCCTTGAAACCCTCCCCCTGGCAATAAGCAATTAAAATAATAGTTTTTTTTGTTTGTTTAAATAATAAAAAACCTCTCTCTCTCTCTCTCTCTCTCTGACACAAAAAAAATAAAAAATTACAAAGCCCTCAGGCCACAGGCCCGTCGACTCCCCACCCCCCCCTTCGCTCGGGCTCCCACCGTCGCTCGGCCTCCACACGGTTGGACCTCTCTCCACCGGGCCTCCGGCCCCTTCTTCTCCACTGCCCCCCGAGCAACCCACATGGGTGGAGTTGCTCTAATAAATTTCCCCTTGAGATACGAGACCTGGTGGGGTTAGCTTACGCTCTGGCAGTGCCATCTTCCTTGACAACACTCCGGTTGAATACATGGCCTCTGTTTTTATTTTTTTAATGTTTTATGATTTGTGATTTTAATCTTATTTTTTTTAAATCAACGTGGCATTGTATAGGCTTTGTGGATCTCACATGGGAATTGGACATGCTCCGGAACCTTAGTATCCGAAGCCTAATGATCAACTTATTTGAGCCGCACAAATTTAATTCAACGGTCATCATTTTACTGATCCACCACACACAAATCAACAACTCTAATTTTTTTTACACACCAATCAGCAGTCCAAATAGATTAATTTTTACGCTCTGGACACTAAGGTCCAGAACAGATCCAATTCCCCTCACATGATTACTATTTCAGAAGTAATAACCCGCCCAGGTTTGGCCCACACCACTGACCCTTTTTTTCTCTTTTTCTTGAAGTGAATCGCATGTATGGGCCACAAGTTATTTAGTTTTTACATTGTAGTAGGCTTTAATGTTTTATACAAATGAAAATAATAAACATACAGCTTCTATAGCCTAACAAGATCCGTTATTTCTTTTTTATTTATTCAATCTAACAACCAGAAAAACGCGACGATGTGAAAATCACCTCCTTTGGCAATTCTCAAATCCAAACCTTTCGACGGGTGTTTTGAACCCGGTTGTACAATCACCAACTTTCTGAGTCCATCAAGCTAACCCCACGAAATAATCAAATTGATGCATAGATTCATCAACCCTACTAACCCAAACATTGGACATTAGTCCAAGACTTACCAATTTTCAGATGACAACCAACATCCACACACCAGCATGAAGGTTTAGGCCCTGCAATATTGCTACGCAAAGCAAGAACAATTCATCTCCGGACGAACCGAAAACTAAAAAATAAAAAGAGGAAGCAGAACAATTCTTCCAGATCTTCTCCAACAACTAAAAAAACATTTGACAAAAACAGAAAAAGCAGAGAGGAGTTTAGTGCAGGGGTTATTCAGAGAGTCCACAAAAGTGCATACAAATCTACTAAACAGAGCAATCTCATGGGAATACAAGAGAATTCATATGAATGAAGTTGGATTACAGGCTATCTAATTTTGTATTCACCAAAGCATCCTAGAATCTGTCAGCACCAAACCAAAAACAAGTCGTCGAAATTTAGATGGGTCGCGGTCGCAGTCGCACTACTTAGCAATGTACATGTGCTATCGAAAACAGACCAACTGTTATCTATTTATCACCACATTCTACCAATATTATACAAATTCTGACAAGACCAACGGAGCCCCGACGCATACACATTGAGGAATCAAATTAACACAACAGTCAGAGAGAAACCCATTCTATACTTGCAGCAGGATGGTTGGAGGCCTCGGAGCAAAATTTCCACTATACACCAATCACAGATTCAAATCGAACATTTGTCTGAAAAAGCTTCCGATCACCATCTACCCTAATTTTCAGAGATCTGCCATTTAAGAAAATCGTCATTAGTAATTTGCTGTTATCTAGTCAGAAACACTCTCCTAATCAGTTACATAGTTGTCCATTCCAAATCCAAGACGTCAAAGCCCTTCATTTGTAATCCAAATCAATATATTAACAAGATTTACTTTTAAGTATGAATGTGCTATAAGCATATGAGCACCCAAGGGCACAGATAAGAACAAACAAAAGTGGTGTAAAAAAGATATACACATGCCCTGTATAGTGAAAAATCTAAAAACATGCACTTATGCAAAGCTTAGATGTGATCAAATTACTCAAACCTAATGCAACAACACTCGTTAACCCAGACTTGCTCACTTAACTGATCTGATGCTGACACCCTCTCCCAGGAGAAAGACAGGTTATTCCCTTATAAGTCTGCCTCGTAATTATTGGAAAGGACCGTACACGACGTGCTATACAAAAACAGGAAAGCAGAAATAAGCAACAAGCAAAAGTCAAGCATGATTTGCTCGGCACTGCAAGTCCATAATCCGAAACACAAACCAAAATGATCCATCTTACTAACTTCTTCAAATTAATCTTTCCCTACCAGGAAAGCAGTAGATAATCAACATACTATGGTGGCTGGCATATTGTAACTTTATAGAAAAGACAAAAAAGCAAAATGGCCATTTCAGTGATATAAAATGGATGAAAAATTATGGTCAAATTAGATATGTATATTGGTTTCTTTGGCAGCCTTGCTGGGATCCCCAGATTGAATAATTGGTTTACAGGATGCTCTAAGGGAGTCATGTCTTCTCGGATTCCAGCTTTTTATTTCTTACAAAAAAATTTGACCTACTCCCTGAACAGAGATGAACGCTGTATACAGGTAGTGGGGTCATATATTCTCATGGGACTCCATATATACAATGGACCTTTCTTGTGAAATAAAACCGTCTTAGAATGTACTAGAAAATTTGGTGGGGAAAAGGACCAAAGACCAGAAACACATCTCTCATTGAGCACTATCAAGATTTTTATTCTGGGGACAACAGTTGGAGCGGTGATAAATTCCTTTGAAATTTCTAAAGAGGGAGAGCAAAAAAGGTGGGAAAAGGGAAGGTTGACAATTTTGAGATTGGTGAATATATGAGATGATATTTGATACCAGATTTGATAGTTACAACAATTAGTAATAGTCAGTGGTAAAATTGAACAGCACTTTCTAACTTAAGATAGGACTACCTTGACACGGCAGGCTTTCCAAGCAACATGTATACAACCAATATGTACGCAACCCTTAACTTCACGTTTAACAAGAACGCATATGATAATAAGCACAGATTATTAGAAGTATTAGTCTAAATTCGAATCAACACTTAAAATCTGTCATTAATGTTTTGGTTTCCTCTCAGTAAAACCTGTCAATCGAAAAAAAAAAAAAAGATTTTAAATTTCATTCTCTCAGTAAAACTGTTTGATTTCCTGCTCCCACGCGCCAACTCCATCCCCTTCTCTCCTCACTGTCTTCCTCATCACTCCCTTCCTCTCTCCAAATACCATTCATATTTGTTTTGGTAAGTGATTCTAATGCACCATTTTTCTTCTCCTACACACCCCTGTTTATTTATGGCCTTCTGATTCACGAAACCAACAGAGAATCAATGAACATAAAATAAACAGGTGTGCAGAAGGAGAAAAGGGGTGCGCGAAAACCATTTCCCTTTTTTTGTTATAAAACTCAGTTCATATTTGAAACAGGTGGAAAGTGAAAGAAATCTCTGAAAATGTGGACCCTGGCACCAAGTAAGTTAAATTGCTACAAATCTGTATAGCAATTGTAAACCAAGAGTTTGAGTTTTATATATTGGCTTTTTAGCCAAAATGGTCCCAGAGATTTGCATAACTCTTCACTTTGGTCCTTAAGATTTGAAATCAATAGAATTGGTCCCTGATTTTGTCCACCATCAATCAAATTGGTCCTTCCTTGAAAAATCTCCATTAAATAAGAATAGCATGACCGAAATACCCTTATTTTTTGTTAGATCATTTCGGCCCATTGTTTATTAAATTGAGGGTATATTTGTTATTTTGATCGTCATTTAACATAATTTTGCACGGAATGACCAAAATGATTGATGGTGGACAATCTCAAAGACCACTTCTATTGATTTCAAATCTCAGGGACCAAAGTGATGTGTTATGCAAATCTCAAGTATCATTTTGGCTAAAAAGCCTTATATATTATATATGTCATTCAAAAGTCTTAAACATCAAGGACTAGAGGTGGGGGTAAACAAGTAAGCCGGGAGGGGGTAAACTCGTAGGAATACTTGCTGCTCGTCCTTTTCCATGACAAGTTATTTAAGAAGAAACATTATTATTAGAAGAGAAAAAAATTATGAATCTTGAGAAACGTTCTGGAGATAAATTGCATGCTAACAGTTTTGAGTATTGATACTTCCAATGTATATAATACTTATTGCAATTACACACACACATATATAACAGCTTCACACTGTAGCAAAAAAAAAGTAAGCAACCCTCATGCATGACACATTTGGTGCTATCATCTAGAGTTCTTTTACAAAATCACGGCTCCAAGGTGAATAATGCAGCAATACTAATAAATAGTTTGGCCCATACAAAAGGTAAAACCAACAAATGTACTTCCAAACCAAAAAATTTAAAATAGTTGGTCAGCTACTGCAAGGCGTTGGTCAAGTTCAATGTCAATGATAATATCATTTTATTCAAAATATATAAAACTACCACTAAAAATGTACTTGATTACACAACTAGGAAGAACAAAAATTACAAAATGCTTGGAATAAGAATCAAGTTGACAGAATCTTACCTCAAAAGAAAATAGTTAAGTCCTAGGCGACCCCGCATCCGATCCAGATGCTGACGAACTATCACTATCTGAGTCTGCAGCAACACGTGTAAGAAAAAGAAATTACTTTACCAAACAAGAACTTGCATAAATGCATCCTATATGCTTAATAACTTAACATCTGTGAGCAGAAAAATGTATTATGGTACCACTGGAGGAAGATCCAGAATCACTGCTGGAGCTGCTTGAACTACTCGACCTACTCCTATTATCACCCTGGTTATCCCCTTGAATGGGTGTTGAAGAGGAAACAATCCTTTCATCTGCTCACAAAAGAAACGAATTTCAATTTATCAGTTTCTCCAAGGAAATCGCTGATTCCAATGCCATGAAACCTCACATTCTGAAATACTTTACCGGTTTTAGGTTGTTTCGGAACCTCTGCTGCAACTGGGGCCTGGGTCTGTAAAAAAATAAGGAAAAATGAATCATTTACCAAAAGCGGCCACCACAAAAATCAGAGGTTAGAATTTAGCATGAGCCAAGACATACCTGCTGCTGGACATTCTGCTCAGCTTCTGCTCTGGCTTGCATTTCAGCTTTTCGCTTGTGTTTGCTCAAACTCTTCTTGTAGTTGGTTACAAACCTGTCCAGCTCCCACAGGGTCTCGGTATCGACGCTATCTATGTCCACTTCAATTTCATCATCATGCTGGAAGAGTGATGAATTCCTCCTCTTTATAATCTGTACAATGGCATCCAGCTTCTCTGAAGGCAGACTCTGGAGTTGGGTGCTAAGCTTTTGCTTTTCGTCATAAGTCATGTCCCTTTTATGAGGATCTTTAGCCTTGGGCTTCTTAGGAGCGGGGGTCCTAGGAGTAATAGTCATGGGTTTTGGCTTCGGATCAGCGTGATGAGAAATGGACTCGGACCTGTCCAAAATCCTTCGCATATCAAGAGGAGGTGGTGGCAGCAGAGGTGCCTTTCTCGGTGTAGGTGTTGGAAGATTAACCCCATAATCATATCCAAACCTCATCTCACGATTGTAATCTGACTCTATGATAGCCCACCTGTCCTCAAATATTCTGGATAATTGCTCTGCCATGACATGAACATCCTGCCCTTGGGGGTTATAGGTCATGGCATTGTGAAATGTAAGTCTCACATCCTCCGCAAATTCTTTCGGAGACTTGTACCAATTCTTGTTCAACCTCGACTTAATGGTACCCAAGTCCATTGGATGCTTGATAATGATATGATAATCGTGCAAACCAAGCTTTGCAGCATCAACAGGTTCATTAAACACCCAACCATGCTTGTGTTTCATCAATTTTTCAAGCAAAGAACTGCAACTCTTGAAAAACTTGCTTCCCATCCCACCAAACCCTTGCCCCAATTCTCCTCCACCATGTTTTTTCCCATTCGATTTCGACTTCTTGTTACTCTCAGCAGGTGGAATCTTATCCTTGGCCAGCAAAAACTCAGAATTACGATAGAACTGGTTCGCCTTGGGGGTTCTCTTCTCTTTCTCCACAATATCACTCATTCCTTGACTATTCTCTAACACGGATATACTCAGCTGATGCAAAGGCCTGGTAGGCTCTCGAGGAACACCTACAGAAGCAACCTCAGAGTTAACCCGCCTCAGTCCTCCACCTGCACTATTCGCCCCATCATTCACTGAAATATGGGAGAGACTAACCCCACCAATCTGCCCCTGTTTGGCTTCAATCCTCTTCACCAAACTCCGCACCAAATCAAGCTCGCTCTCAAGCTTCCTTCGTAGCTTCCGCTTGTCCTGCTTCGACCTTGAAGCAAAATTAAGCTTAATTCGGCTATCTGAAGTCGGCTTGACCACCCCATTCTCTGCAGGTGAATTCCGACTTTCTTGCTCAATAGTTGCCTCTAACACTGCCTCTACTGCTGTCACCGCGGGTTCTTGCCGGTTCAGGCTCGAGGAGTCATCAGAGGCAGCAGCACCAGACTGTGAAATGAGCAGCTGCTGCTGAGCGGAATTCCCATCCCCAGACAGCACAGTCTGAGCCGGAGGCTGAGTGGAATTCTCATCATTATTCCCGTTATGCTTGTTCTCACTATTGGTGTCCTTGTTTTCATCGTTGTTGCAGTCCTTCTGGTTCTCGACGTTGTTGGTGTCCTTCTCGTTCCCGACGTTGTTGCTGTCCTTCTCGTTCCCGACGTTGTTGCTGTCCTTCTCGTTCCCGACGTTGCTGCTGTCCTTCTCGTTCCCGACGTTGCTGCTGTCCTTCTCGTTCCCGACGTTGCTGCTGTCCTTCTCGTTCCCGACGTTGCTGCTGTCCTTCTCGTTCCCGACGTTGTTGCTGTCCTTCTCGTTCACGTTGATGTTGCTGTTTTTCTTGTTCTCGTTGATGCCCTTCTCGTTCTCGTTGATGTTGCTGTCCTTCTTGTTATTGTTGATGATGTTGTCCTTCCCGTTGATGTTGTTGTCCTTGGTGGTGGTTGGGGTGGCGGCAGGGGCGGAGGGGGCGGCTAAGGCAGTGGCGGTTGAGTCAGTATTTGTGTTGGCGTCGGCGTTGGCGTTGTTGATGATGTTGTTCTTCTTGGGGCCTTTGAAAGCTTTTCGAGTATAGACCTTGCTCTCCGTGAACCTCTGTTTCTCTCTGGCTCCATCACCTTCTCCTACTGTAGGCCCTGAAGCCATACATGTACCTCCCAGAACCCTAATTCCCGTTTTTCCCTCCCACAAAGATCCAAGATTCCTAGGGTTGTTCCGCTATCCGCCCAAAACAAAAACACAAAAACTAACAAAACCCTAATTTTTCCCCCAACTCTCACGCATAAGTCACAAAATCCTAGGGTTTCTTTCCCCTATCCGACAAAATAAAACAGAAATTAACAAAACCCTAATTTTTTCCCCCAAATCTCACACACAAAACGCAAAAGTCCAATTAGAGCTTCCTCACAGCAAATCAGCTAGAGAGAGTTAGGCTTACAGCATCGACAACCACAAGGGGTAGAGCTTCGAGCTTCGTTTGCCTTTTTCTCCGATCAGATCTCGTTCTCTCTTCGCTCTCTCTCTCTCTCTCTACTTTCTCTCTCTAAAACGTTTCACAGTCTCACAGTTTCTCTCTCTTCCCTCTCTCTCTCTCTCTCTCTCTCTCTCTCTCTCTCTCTCTCTCTCTCCTTATCTTACAGGTGTACGGCGAGGGAGGGGTTCGTGAGGCAGCGGTGGAATGACGAAGCGTGTGGGAGCACCAAAAGAGTCGTGCCGGGGAAGTATCATAGCACGGGTGGGGAGCGTGGTAGACTAACGCGGCATCTGAGGGAGCGACGTGCAACCGGCCAATGTTAGAGCGAGGAGAGTGGGGCGTGACGTCATGTTTGGGTTGAATTTATTGGGAGATTATGTAGCGGGGAGTTGTGTTGTGGAATATTTGGAAGAGATTCCCTAGGCGGTAAGAGGGCGCGTGCAGTGCACTTTCGGGTATTGTGGGATGTTTGATTTGGTGATGATGAAAGTCTCTAGCAAGGTTCATTATATGGTATCGTTTGGTATGCAGACGGGACAAGATGGAACAGAATGGGACCGGACGGAACAGGATAAGACAGGACGGGACGGAACATAGAGGGAGCAAAGATGCCCTCAGATGGAAACAAGAAGGAAGAAGGAGACTGAGAGATTATAATTTTGTGTTCCACGTATATGGAACGAGTCGTTCCAGGGGTGAGGCGTAACGAAAATTCACCCAAAATTCATCATGTGGAACAACACGTTCTATCCGTTTTAGGCACACCAAACGTGGGACGGAAAGTCTCGTCCAACTATGTTCCACCCAATAATGTGCTCATTGTTGTCGTTTGGTTGTTGCTGGTTGTGGTTGAGGAGAGTTGCAACTCCCAAGTCATAATGGGCTTTAATTGGGTTCTTTGTTTGAAGCCAGATGTGAGCCCAATTAATCTTCCATAAGAGCAAGTCCATCCCTAAGGACTTTGTGTCAACACCCAGCCAATTTATCCACTCCAATGAACAGTAATAAACTTTAATGAACAGTAATAGGCCAATGCATCTCCACCCCTGAAAAAATGCACTGGCACAAACGATATCCACCCCTACAAAATGAGCTGTCACCCAACCCATTTAAGATATTTTTAAATTTTTCTAAAAAAATAAAATAGTTTTAATTTCGGATAGGATTTTTAACCAATCTCGTCACACCACGTGTCATTATCCGAACGTACTATTTTGTGAATAGATTTCCGCTAAGATTTTGAACCAATCCCGACGTGCCACGTGTCACTTCCGTTTTACAATAATTTAGCCAAGATTTCGATAAGATTTTCAACTAATCACGTCATGCCACGTGTCATTATTCGAACGTACTATTTTGTGGATAGATTTCCAATAAGATTTTCGACCAATCCCGATGCGCCATGTGTCACTTCCAGTTTACAATAATTTAACCAAGATTTCGATAAGATTTTTAACCAATCACGTAGTGCCACGTGGCTTTGTCCAGAACCTCATCCTTTCTTTTTTTGTCCATATAAACCCTACATCCCTACATTCATCCTCACACCAAGCTCAATCATTCTTTTTAGCTCAGAATCCTTGTTCATCGTTTTCAAATCTTAAGTTCTTAAGACAATGTCTTCTTCAAGGAGAATGTATAAACATGCAGAATTGGCCAATCTCGAGGAAGGTGGAGGTGGAGATGAGGCTTTCTTCATGGAGGAGGATGAGGATGAGGATGATCACGATAAAAGGCAAAGGGCCTCACATTCCCACCGTGTCATGGAAGTCGTGGGTCAGACAGCCAAATCCACACGTGTTGCAAACCTCGATAGAAAAAAAGGAAAGATGAGGTAAAGATCTATTGGAAGATTATTTTATTCCCAACAGCATATTCCTTGATCATGTTTTTAGACGTCGTTTTAGAATGCAACGAAGTTTGTTCGACAAAATCATGAGTGCTATTTGCAACCATGATCCATACTTTGTGCAAAAAGATGATGCTTTTCATGTTCTAGGTCTTATTCCCGAGCAAAATATTACGGCTGCCTTACGAATGCTTGCATATGGAGCATCTGCAGATCAAGTGGATAAGATCACTAGGATGGGAAGAACAACTGTTCTAGAGTCCCTGATGCGGTTTTGCTCTGCAATTGAAGCCCTCTACACCAATGAGTACCTCCGGACACCTACGCCAAGGGACATGTGAAGGCTTATGAGGAAGGGTGAGATGCGAGGCTTCCCTGGCATGATTGGAAGCATCGACTGCATGCACTGGACTTGGAAAAACTGTCCAAGTGCATGGCAAAGAGCTTATGGCGACAGAAATGGAGCCAAAAGCATCATTTTGGAAGCGGTGGCTTCATTTGATACATGGATTTGGCATGCTTTTTTTGGTGTTCCAGGAGCTTAGAATGACCTAAATGTCCTTGCCCAATCCTCAATGTTCAACGAACTGCTACAAGAAAAATCGCCGAGATGCACATATTGGGTTAATGGTACCCAATACGAGGGATCATACTACCTTGCATATGGCATTTACCCAAGGTGGTCAATGTTTGTCAAAACAGTGCCACATCCACAGACTGAAAAGGAAAAACACTTCGCAAAATGTCAAGAAGGGTGTAGGAAGGATGTCGAGCATTGGTTTGGTATCCTGCAAGCTCGTTGGGCGATTGTCAGGGCTGCAGCTAGAATGTTTGATGTTGAGGCTTTTCAATCCATCATGATGACGTGTATTATTCTCCACAACATGATTGTTGAAGATGATTATGATGTCGTCGATGAATATGAGTCGGATTCGATGAACAACTCAAGAACACATATCTACTGTGCTCATGACCGGACCGAAGATCCCGTGCAACACGAGCCGTTGGAACGTGATGGACGTTACAATGAATTGATCGTTCAGCGGTACACTGATGTGCAAGAGCCATAATGGCACGTAACCTGCCAGAATGACTTGATTGAGCACCAGTGGGGATTGCATGAAGGCAAAGATAATTAAAATGAGGCTTGTGGTTGAAGAATAAAGTGTATTTTTTTTTAAGTTTATGTAATTCTATGTAGTGTGTTTTGTTTTTAAGTTTATTTGGTGAGGTTATGTAATCTTATTTGATGAGTTTATGTAATCTTATTTCATGTGTTTAAATAAAGTACAAAAATAAATAAATAATTACATTAAAATTGCAAATAAAAATAAATAAAGTTTTAAAAATAAATAAGAAATAACATAAAAATAACATAAGAAATTAAATAAAGTTCAAAAGAAAAAAAAGAAAAAACATAAAAATTACATAAGAAATTAAATAAAATTCTAAAAAAAAAAAAGAAATTACATAAAAATTATACAAAGTCTCTGGAGCTAGGATATGTGGTGCTAGGATCTTGGTTGCTATGATTTGTGTAGCTAAAACCCCCTTGACTTGTTTCCGCATCTCTTGCACGCCTCCTTCGCACGACATCTCTTTTTTCCGATGTCCAAAAATATTTTTAATTCGGAGACAGTCCTACTAGAGACTTGCTCATAGTGTCACGATCTGCTTAAGTCATCCTTTATTCTCTAAGCATTTCATTTTCTCGATGAAGTGTTTGTCTAACCAGCTTGTTCTCTCGATTAATTATTTCTCTTTGTCTCTCAGCCGCTGCATCACGAGCCTCAGTAGCTGCTATTATTGCTGCCATAGCAGCAACTTTTTCCTCATCTCTAGCCTTTTCCCATGCCATGTTCAGTTCACCTTGGCGAGCAAGTTCCTCCATATATTTAGTGTAGTCATTTTTGGAAGAACTACCTTTTTTCTTTGATGTCTTTTTACCTTGAGGCCTGAGGGACTAACGTGTCGATTGGGTCTTGGGCACTTGTTCAGGCGTCCCTTCCGTATCTTGAAATGTGTCGGCTTCTTGTTCGGCCGTGTCTAGTTCTGGTGAACTATGTAGACCCATGCCGTGCATGACAACTTCTGGACCTGTTGCCACAATTTTGTATTTAGGGCAATCTTTGACAATTTCCCAACATTCCCATTTGTTGAATGATTTGTTATGGTTCTTTGAATTGTAGAATGCTTGAGCTTGTAGTGTCTATAAAAATGTGGGATAAGATAGTGTTAAAAATGCAGATGTAACACAAATAAATAAATTAAAATATTGATGTGGGTGGAATGCATATAAATTACATAAAAATGACATAAGAAATTAAATAAAAATTACATAAGAAATTAAATAAATTAAAATATTGATGTGGGTGGAATGCATATAAATTACATAAAAATGACATAAGAAATTAAATAAAAATTACATGAGAAATTAAATAAATTAAAATATTGATGCGGGTGGAATGCATATAAAAATTACATAAGAAATAACATAAAAATTACATACGAAATTAAATAAATTAAAATATTGATGTGGGTGGAATGCATATAAATAAATAAAAATATTGTCACCTGATCCGCTAAACTTGTCCCACTACGCAGGTTACCGAAAGCATGAGAGATGGCGTTTTTCCAACAAGTAAAGGATGCGTTGAGTTTTTTCCAACGACCTTGAAGACCTTGACTAGTTCTGGCATCTTTTCCATGTACATCGCAAAACGCTTTCGTAATTTTACTCCACATTTCTGCTTATCCATCTCATTACCTGTAATCGGGTCATGAGTAGTGTGAACTCAACATTTACACAACGTAACATCTTCAATGAGCTTCCACGAAGACTTTTTTTTTCTTAAATTGTAGAAAATATTGAAATGTAGATAGTATAGAAAGTGTAGAAAATATTGAAATGTGGTGTAAGGTGGAAGATGAGGGTTAGGTATTTATAGAAAAAAAAAATAACTTTTTTAAAAATTTTCTATATTTTTTAAAATTTTTTTTGTATTTTTAATAATTTTTTTGTATTTTTTCATAATTTTTAATAAATTTTAATATAATTAATTAATCTAGACTGTTGGATTTGAAAAATATTCAAATCCAAGAGCCAAGGAGTTGCCACGTGGCCAACGGTCATATTTCTAACCATTGGGCCTTTTTTATTATTTTTATTTTTTTTGTGAAAAAATGTGGACCGTTGATCTGTGATAGGACAGTCCATTTTAAAAGTCAAATTAAATTTTTTTTACCGTTGGAAATCCAACGGTCTACAAAAACTAGCCGTTGAAAATCCAACGGCATTAAGGAGGGCCACGTAGCTCTAATCCGGGTGAACACAAGTGGGCTGACAAGCTGGCCCCGTCGCCTGCACTCTTGTCTCCTACTCACGCTTAGTCGCGAGTGTGTTGCACGCGCCAGCCAAATAGGTCGGCCTCTAGGTCTGTCCGAAATGGGCTGGTCAGTTGCCTGGCTTGGGCTGGGTGCCAGGCTGTTTTGCGGGCTGGAGTAGATTGACAGGGTGCTGGGTGGATTTTTGGATAGGATGCTGGGCAATTTTGTGTCCGATGGACTTGCTCTAATGTCATCTCCAATTGAAAGGACTAAACATAATTCCGTTCAGAATTATAGTCATGCAAAAAATTATTTTTAAATGAATAGTGTCAGGTTATACTCATATATCATCTCCAATTGAAGGGGCTAAACATAACCCCTTGATAATTTATTAGTTTTAGCTTATATTTTAAATTTATTGGTTAATTTAATTAATGACTGTTGGATCTTTTAAATATAGTCGTTGAATTTGAATCAATTATTACAACTGAGAAGCTAAACTCCAGAAAATGGGCTAAGAGGAGAGCTACATTTGGCTAGCCTAATGCCACTTTGACCAAATAATAGTTTGGTGAGCTCTATAGAATTATAACCCAATCATCATTTAGAGATGAGTTTTTTTGGCAACTCAGGTCATTTTTTGGCTTTTGGACGTTTAGCCATCTCCATTGGAAATGACCTAAGAACATCTCCCCTAGATTACACCATGTGACACAAGGGTAAGATTTTAAATTATTTTTACCATTGGAAATCCAATAGTCTAGATCTTATGACAACTGTAAATCCAACAATCCACATTCGGCCATTTCAACTAGCCGTTGGAGTGGGCTAGGATTTCTGTTGCAGCGAGGCCCACCGCTACAAGTTTTGTCTCTCACTTTCTCTTCACAGTTACACGCATCTAATTAAAATAATTAAAGTTTGCGCTAGTGTCATGATGACGTCAACTTGCCCAAAGGCAGTAGGCCCGGCTTAAGATGGTTGGACATTTGGGCTAGCAGTGGTTGGCCCACCACTTGCCTTTGGTGCTAGTGTCATGATGACGTCAACTTGCCCAAAGGCAGTAGGCCCGGCTTAAGATGGTTGGACATTTGGGCTAGCAGTGGTTGGCCCACCACTTGCCTTTGGTTTATTGGACTGTTGGAGAGGTTTTTGGGTTTGGAAAGGAACATTGTTGCTTTTGCCATTGCCTTCCATCAATTTGTGGAGATGTTCTAAGACTTTATTGAATAATTACTATTTGTATATATTGATTTTATTCTATTCATTCGATTTAATAATCAGAAATTAGAAAGAATATATAAAAAAAATAAAAATAGATACGTCCCTATTAATACTAGCAAAAAAAAAATCTCCTCCCTCTCCATATCATACAAAACGGGGCCCCAAGAAAAAGATAAAAAGTGACCAGAAATGCTCTGTTTATCAACAACGAGAAGGATACGAAGGTAGAACATCGGAGTAGTGAAGGAATTCGGCACCCAGTCACATGAAAGTTGTAACAAAATGCAGCGTCTCAAAGTAAAGGCCATGCTTTCTCCCACCTTCCAAGCCTCCTCCTTTTCTTCTTCTTCTTCTTCTTGCTTGCAATACTCACCTTGGTCCGGCCTGCAAACCTGGAGAGAGTGCCCGCTCAATGAGAACCGTTGGTGGGGTACCAAGGGCCCACAGCCTCAGCCGCTACAGTCACAGCCCTCCTCCATTGACAAGCATTACAGTCAAATGGTGTCGTCAGCTTCCTCCCTCGCAGAGCTCGGCGCTCTGGTTCTTTCTACCAGCGACCCCCTCGCCAAGTCAAGGATTTCCCACCTCGCTTATTCCAGGTGGCGCCATGACCGCCTACCGCTCGGTGCATCTGATCCCCCTCCTCCGCCTGCTCGCCCCTTCAAACCCCAACTGGTAATTTCATTATCTTTCATGGGTAACTTACAATTTCATCATCTTTCATGGGTAACTTACAATTTCATCATGTTTATATATTTTTTGTTTGATTTTGATTTGTGGGTTTTGGGATTCACTGCTTAAATCAAACATCAAAGAAGCATATTTTACCTGTATATTGAATTGGGTATTGTCATTATCTGTATCCTTAGTTTCTTTTGATGCAAATTTTCCGGCTTTCGAACTCATCCAGTGTTTTCATAGTTAACTTTTCGAGTGATCGAAAACATGTATACAATGCTTTACAGCCACACTCATTATTACCCTATCGTATTGCGTGAGTTCAGGTTTCTCCTAAAGAAATTCCAGCTCCCAAGAACTCGGGTTTGCCTCTTAATGCTTATATGCTTCATAATCTTGCTCACGTTGAGCTCAATGCAATTGATTTGGCGTGGGATACTGTTGTTCGTTTTTCACCTTTTAGTGAGACTCTAGGGGAGGGTCTTTTTGCCGACTTTGCTCATGTCGCTGACGATGAGAGTCACCATTTTGCTTGGTGTTCTCAGAGGCTTGCTGAACTTGGTTTCAAGTGAGGACAATACTTACTTTGGGTAGATTATTTGTTATCGTTTCTTAGGTTGACGTGTAATTTTGCTTTTGTAACTAGTTACGGAGATATGCCTGCTCATAATCTGCTTTGGAGGGAGTGTGAGAAATCATCTGACAATGTTGCTGCACGTTTGGCAGTGATCCCCTTAGTCCAGGTAATATGTTCTACTTGCAGTGTGTACAAACATTATCTCTATCAGTTATTCAAATAAGATCTCTAAATAAGAACCTGTTTCCTCAACTGGTAGATCAGACATACACAGCTGAGGTGCAATGATATGAGATGTATTTCATTGCATGTTAGCTATCCCTCACTGTGGTCATTTGAGGCATTATATGCTTTATCATCTGTGCTCACTGGAAAGTAGTTTAGCATGTTAAATTGTGTCTGAATCTGCGGTCTTGATTTGCTAGATAATCTGGCTCTGCCTCTCTGATTTGAATGTATTTAAATTATATTCACCTGTCTTTAATTTCTCGCTAAATAATAAAGAGCATTGCATGACCTTGTATATATTGGTATGGAATGCTGAGTGAGTATACAGTTGATACTACATAGATGAAATTTTATACAATGCCGGATCTAAAAATTGAAAAAAAAATGAAACAATGCATTTTTGAAGCTGGAAGAACTTTTGTCAACTTATGAAGAACTATTCCTTGAGGTTTAGAGGATTGTTAAGCTAATGTAGGAAGAAAGTGCGAGAAGCCAGACTAGGGACAGATGACTGGCACTCAATTTGTTCCACAAACTCTTCTGCCACTTTGTTTTACACCAAGCTATTATGATGGGAATTTAGATTTCTAATGATGCATATTGTCTACAAGAATAAATGATTTAGTTGGATTCACTGATTGGTATTCTTTGGTACTCTTTTGAACTCGTAGTTTTCCTTCAATGCATTTCCCAAATTTTTGTAGTTCTTCAAGCTGTTTTTCAGCATTGATTACTCATGTTGAGACTGATGGGCACCTACTTCCCATATGCTAAGGTTTAGTACTGTTTAAACTTTATCATATGAAGAAGGATTGGAGGATGGTTGACTATTTGCAAGATCTTTTCCTCATCAGTCACTCCATGAGCATTGGGATATAGTTGATTGAATGATGAACAGCTAAAGAAACATTAGCTTTTTTCTTCCCCCTCAACAACTTAGCATTTTGGGTGCTGTTTAAGCGAAAGTGCGGTATTTGATGGTCAGTTTTTTGTTAAGTGAGTCAAGTTAGAAGATAAAGAAGACATTCTACTTTCCCCATTTTGCTTTTATTCTTTGTATGGAAAGGGCATAACAACGGGTGGGATTAACCAATTTAGCTGCAGACTCCTTCGTTTTATATTGATATACTTTGACATGCTTGCACACACATATACTGATATGCGTCAGTTTTCCACAACTTAAAAAAAACACTATATATTCTTTGCTTTGATCCTAATTTATTCATTTGTGTATTATATTTTGAATTGTAATTCTTGGTTTTAGGAAGCTAGAGGACTAGATGCTGGACCTCGACTTGTACAAAAATTGGTTGGTTTTGGAGATCTTCGGACATCTAACATTGTTGCTAGAATCGCTGATGAAGAAGTTGCACATGTAGCTGTTGGTGTCCACTGGTTTGTCGATGTCTGTCAAAAAATGGGTTGTGCCCCATCTTCCGCATTTAAAGGTTTTCTATCGTTCCATTTTCTGTGTGTATGTTCTCACCTATAGTCATACTACATTCGAGAGCAAGATGGATATATGGATCTTTTCCTTATAACTACGCAGACTTGTTGAAAGAGTATAATGTGGAGTTGAGAGGGCCCTTCAATTATTCAGCTCGTGATGAAGCTGGCATTCCTCGTGATTGGTGAGAAAATTGTATACCAGCCAGTTCATTTGATTGGTATTAATTTGGAGAAGTTAAAATTTTAGTATTTAATGTCATGTTCTTTTGTCCATTTTTATTTTTGTTTTTGGTTGGAATGAATAAATTCTCTTTCTAGTCTGCATGTGTGAAATTTTCTGTTAACGAAATTGTAACAGCTTGCTTCATCTCTTGTATAGGTACGACTTATGCGCAAATAACCCGCATAAGGATAAGAAAACGGATAAAAGTGAGAAGCTTTCTGAGGTTTGTGATCCTGGCGTTATAAATTTCATGAAACTAAATTCAGAACTTCGTTATTTATCTTTTCTTCTTTCGGCATATGAATATTTGTAACATCTCTACTATTATACAGGTCTATGAAAGGCTTGCTTCCATAATTTCCATGGAGAGTGAGAACTCAAGTTTGAACAAGCCTGAGTAGTTTTGCAGCAACTAATGCTTTCCTCATACGTGGTTGCACTCTTTCGTCCATGGAATCAATCTTACCTAATTTCTTTGTTACATGCTCCTGAAACAGCATTCCAATTGACTTACCTTACCAATCTGCTGAATCGCTTCTTTCAGGATACGCGCGTACTTGGAGTTTTTATCTGTTCCCCCTTGCTTCGATGTCTTTCTGTCGTTGTTCAAACGCGAAATTCAGGTAGAAAAGCAGTTATCGATTTCTTCCTGTAAATGTATAAGTTGCTTGAGCTCACAAGTTTATATATAAAGATTGTAGAAGCTCTTTCTCTCCTTTTCCTTTTTTTTAGCATCCAATTCCAGACAGATGCATGAATGAGAGTCGGAATTAGTATTTGGATGTGGTGGAATTGCATCATAGCACATGCTTCACACGGCCATTGTAGTAGGACTAGGTTCTCCTTTTGCAAATATTATTTGTAAATAAGAGATTTCTATGGTGCTCCACACATTTTAACCATTAGATCTTTGGTTAAAAATACAAAACCAAGAGTTAACGGTTGGAGCATCTCCAAATGAGATGTCAAAATCCTAAGTGGAATGCCACTATGCATATTTGACATAAAAAATATTTCCAACCGAAGTGTTATTTGCTTGGATTTGAAGGTTTGTACTTAAGAGTTAAATTTATTTTTAATAAATTTTAATGGTGGGTCACTACTAACATTTTAACCAATAAAAAATTTATTAAAACATTTGTTTGTAATAATTACAAATATTTAAAGCTCTATTTTAATAAAAAAAAATAACACTTGACGATTCGTTTTGAGATATAAAATCTAACATAAGATTTTAGATTATCGCATTAACCATCAATTTTAATTGATTATTATAATTTGATATTTTCTTTAAAAATGATCTTATAATCTAAAAGTCTGTACTCCGCTGCATGGTAGAGTTTTGTGGAAAAATGCAATTTTCTTTCCCCATATTGCAAATGGCCACCTCATCGTGCGCATTTACACTCTTTATGCAAATGCAAGTATATTTCAACCGTGTCCAACAAACTTTCCTCATGCTTCACGCATAGCTAAACTTTTCAACTTCAACTTGCGTTGCAAGATGGCATGTCATATGTTCTTCCTTTGGTTCCATGCTTTAGTGTTTGATTAGCCTTTTAGAGCCCAAGTGACACACGCTAATGAATCATGGGTCCAACCTTTTTTTAGCACGACTGATAATCATTTTGTTTTTGTAGGGGCTTAAAAATATCACGTACAAGCCCAAAACAATTGAATTCCATTTTTTTTTCAATGAAGAATAATGATAGATGCTTACCAATAATCCAAGTAGGGAATCTTGCTGTATGATAATTGATTTAGATTGTGGGGGATATGACTGACATGAAAAAGAAAGGAGAAGGAAGAACCAAAATTGAAAGAGAAAGAAAGGAGGAGACTCCTCGCATATAATAATCATCATTTAATTAAGGGAATTTTAACGAAAAGCTTCCGGTACTGTTCATTTTAACGAAAAATCATATTTTTACACTAAAAAGTAATCCTGCCACTAAACATAAATTTTTTACCAAAATATGCATCTCCTAAACTGCCACTAAACATAAAATTTTTAATGTGTCAGGAACACTGTTTAGTACACCAAGTGATATAATATAAGTGGTTGAAATTTATTTATTTTTTCATGTATTTAGCTATTTATATTAGGATAGTTGGTGTATTGAGCTGTGGTCCTAGTACACTAAAGAATCTCTCGCCACATGGATGCCGTGACACACCCCGATTAAGATCAAGGCATGCTGGCTGTCACGTGAGAGTGACGTAGCCATGTGCACAATGCGGAAGCGAAAAAGATAAGAAATATACGAATAATCAAAACCAAATTACTAGAGTGCACTACTAAACAAAAAGTGATAGGAGTTAATTACAACGGTAAACACTCATATTCAGAGCATAAAAGTCTAGGTGCAGTTCAGTAAGACAAGTACTAGTTATACAATACCAAGAATGTCCTACTATTATTTAGATAAGTCAGAACAGCCGACGTCCTCGAGCCACCAACAACAAGTTTACTTAAAACCTGGAGGGGTGCAAAACAAAAAACGTGAGTGGGCAAAAACAAATGCTTTACAAACTCATTTCATTTATCAATATACTAACCCTTCGTTGTAAAACATGTATAATTTTTCCCAAAATCAAGATATAAGCATATACATATATATATATATATATATATATATAGGAATTGCTTAAGGGGAGGGATCCCCATTTTTTCAAAAAAATGGGGACACGCTCCCCACCGTTGGATTTGAATTAAATGAAATCATGTGGTTGAGATTCTATGGCCTGTGTTTTAATCTCAACCACACAATTTCATTAAAGTCAATCTAACAGTGGGGAGCGTGTCCCTATTTTAAAAAAAAAAATAGGGATCCCTCCCCTTAAGCTCCCTGATATAGGAATTGCTTAAGGGGAGGGATCCCCATTTTTTCAAAAAAATGGGGACACGCTCCCCACCGTTGGATTTGAATTAAATGAAATCATGTGGTTGAGATTCTATGGCCTGTGTTTTAATCTCAACCACACAATTTCATTAAAGTCAATCTAACGGTGGGGAGCGTGTCCCCATTTTAAAAAAAAAAATAGGGATCCCTCCCTTTAAGCTCCCTGTATATATATATATATATATATATGTATATAACTGAAATCATAACAATTTAATTCATGCTTCACATAATCATATTCATGTGTATGCCATGCCAAAATATAATAAAGTAAATAATTCAGGTAAGAATGATTTCATAGAAATATGATATGTTAGCCGAAACCCCTGTAGTAGTCTGTACGGCTGAATTCATAGCTCAAAAGTCAATCTAGCCGGAGTCACAATAATGACCTGTACGGCAATATACTGCACATAAGTTGGACCCACTAAAAAGGGGTCTATACAACAAGATTGGGTGTAATATAGTTATGCTCAATTCTATTCTCTCATAATAGCCGGGCGTTGAATCGCTAGTCACCTACGAGTCGGAACCATAAATAAGGTATGTACGACAAGATTGTGCACTTAAGTTGGATCCAATATGAGCATATAGTGCGGGAGGTGATGTAAATAAACAGGTTTGTACTTCATATCTCTGGCTAAATCACAATCACCCTAGGTGCAGTTTTATGAGCTCAACATTATTCAATCACATATCACATCATCGATGATTCATATAACCAAACGTAACTTACCTATGCCTCCACAGCACCATAGTTATATATATATATGCAACCATGAAATGCATATTCAGAATATAAAAGCAATTGGTATATTATTTCAAAGCATACTTTCCTTAAAAATGCATTTTTGGGAAATATATCAAGTATATAAGTATATACTGAAAACAAAAGCCCACTCACTGGTATGTCGAAGGGTCGTAACCCCCGAGTCACCGTGGATACGCTCGTCCTCGAGATAAGTCTCACCTATATGCAAATTAACTATAAAAACGTTATTTCAAAGCACATATACAAAACTAGCTAATAACTTCTGATACAAAACTCAATTTTGGTATTTGAATATACCAACGTGACCTACACAACCTCACGAACATTGTGCTATTTTTAGAAGAATTTTTCTGTGGCTCACGCGTCCTCACGCGCCCTCACGCACATCACCTTTAACCTCCAGACGCCGGAACTGTGTCACTGGCGCCGGATTTTGGGCAAACCTGCAACTGCCTATTTCTCGCTCATTTTTGCACCATTTTTCACGCAATTTATACCAAAATGAAGCTCTTAACTAGAAGAACACAATCATACTACTTTAAAGTTCTAAAAGTCACGGGATCTCACCGGAGAATTCCAAGAAAAACTAGCCAAACTTCGTCCACATGATCCTGACGTCCAAAACCTTCAAATGAAGCACTTCGAGCTTCCTTAGGACCTCACTAAGCTTCCTACAAGCTTCAAATTCCTAAAAACATCCATAATTACGTGTGCATGAACAATACACAAATTGAGGGTTATGAAAAACTAGGGTTTTCGAAGGTATTCTTACCTGAAATGGGTACCAATCGACTCATCTGAGCTTCATGAACACAATGGTGCCAACTTTGACCACGATCCGTTAAGTTTCAAGGATTTTGGGTGATTGTCCGTACGATGTTGAAGGAGAGAGAGAGGGAGAGTCCGAGAGAGATGAGAGGGTACGGGAAAGAGAAAAGAGAGAGTGTGTGTGGCCTAGGATTGGTCAACCACCAAAAATACTATAACTTAATCCTAATTGGTTCTAAACAATTAGGATTAAAGAATATTGACCTAAAACCACACTTAAACCACATTACACAACTAATGTCCAAGGGTATTTTCGTCAATTCATGCCGTCGATAATTATATATTTGGGATGGGCTGTGACACGCCGCATACGCATTTTTAAGCCACAATTTTGATAGGCAGTGGTATCCACACACCCATTTTAAATTTTTGGCTATCAGATCGAATCAAATCAATTGAATAAGATCAATAACAAAAAATTAGTAAATATATGTAGTAAGTAAAAATGAATGTGTGAATAATACATCTCTTTTTGATAAGTTAATATTGAGTTCCAATGTGTGACGAAATTTTAATTAAATTAAAAGAAAGTGAGATGGATGTCATTCGAGATCATTGCATAAATAAATCCAACAATTAAAGGGAGGCAAAGGAAAGTGGAACAGAATTGGGAATCCTAATAGTGACCCACACCCACTACGAAGTCAAGTCTTCGTCCATTCTTCTTCTCTCCTTCTCTGTCCGTCACATTCAAGTTCAACTACTCAAGTAAGTGAGGGTGAAGCAGAAGCAGCAGAATCGGAAATGTGCTCTTCGGAGGGTGATTGCAGGCCTTTGGGCTTTCTACTGGGCCTTCCGTTCGCTCTCCTCTCCCTCCTTCTCTCCATTGTCGGCATCGTCATCTGGATCGTGGGGTATGAATATGATTCCTCTTCTCCCTATCTATCTCCAATTCATTGATTTTCTCTCTCAAGTTTGCAATTTGATCGATCATCTCATCTGGGTATCTCAAATTGTTATTGGTTGGTTTTTTGAATTTTTGAAGTTGTGATCTGGTTGATTGATTTGATTGAGATTTGAATTTGGGGGTGGTGGGTGGCAGATTGTTGCTGACGTGCATATGCCCGTGCTGTTTGTGCGTGACGGTGATCGTGGAGTTGGCTCTGCAGTTGGTCAAAGCCCCAATTCATGTCATGGAGTGGTTCACTTCTCAAATCCCCTGTTAATCTCTCTCTGTTTGCTTGATACTTTCTACAATTACTCTTTTTTTAATATTATTTTTAATTTTAATTATAGTAAATTCATCAGCTTGGTCGTGTTGCTTTCTTAATTAGATACATATATCATTGTGAAATGTGAACGAATGAATGTTTATGCATAACGTCCAGGTTTGTTATTACGGTATATCTGACTGTTAGATGATGATACTACTAAGTACTTAGACCTGCTAGTTGCATGTTGTGACATATATTTGACAGTTAAATCGCGATAGTACCAAGTGTAATTAGGAAAATAAGTCAATTTTTTTGAGGTTAGGATTATTGTATTACCAATAATCATCGCTTTTATTTATCATAGAAATTAAATTAAATTAAAATTATCTCACCTATAAGTACAATAAACATTCATATACTTGTTGTTGAGTTAGAGTGGTATGTTTTATAAATGGATTTGTGTTGGTATATTTATTTTTCGTTTAGAAAAATATTAAGTGGATTTGCAAAAAATAAATCCGAAAAAAAGATAATACTGAAGTTAACCTTGATCAGGGTGTGACAACTAACAACTTGTTAGGGCCAAGTGGCAAGTGGGTTGATGGTCCCCTTTTTAGGACCTCTCACGCATATTAGGACCAGAGGTTCACGCGACCCGCACCTTCATGTTGTGGTGCTGTTGTTGGACGTACTATGCTGGTTGAGTGGGTCCTAATCCCTTGGGCCCTCTTTTGTATTTCTCTGTTTGGGCTCATCCGCCGACGACGACTTCCACTTCTGCTCCTGGCCACCACTCAGCTCCGCCGATGAGCATGTCTTTTGTCGTCTGACCAATCTCAAGTAGAAGTCTCCGTGACTGCTCCCAGCCTCCCCACACCAGCCGCTCCCACTTGCAACCGGCTTAACTAATATTTTCAGCTCAAGTTTTAATTATTTGAATCAAGTTAGCAAATCGGTGAGCAGCGGTCTGCACCTAAATAGTACTCTCGACATATTAATACCTGCTGCTTATTTTGCTTAACTGCCGATCTCTTGGCCTCCAGTTCTTTCTGTGCCTCCTCCCTCTTCCTGGCAGTGTACTCCTCAGCCTTCTCCCCTGCCACCACAGCAGCATCTTTAGCCATACCCAAAGGCTTCGAAACAATATCCACAACTTTATGCCCCGCATCTTCAGCCGCCCCCATGACAACCTTCGCTGCCTTTATAGTCCCCTCCACTGCTGCTTCAGTGGTGTACTGCACTGCAGTCCAACCGACCACAGTCACCTTGTCCTTTAAGTCCACCGCCACATCACCTGCACACGCAGCCGCAGTCTTCCCACTCCCCTGAGTCATGTCCTTGGCCTTCATTGCCACATCACTTGCATATGTCGCCGTAGTCTTCCCGCCCTTCAAAGTCATGTCCTTAGCCTTCGCCGCCCTTTCTTCCTCGTAATGCAGAGTGGTCTGACCTGCAGAAACCGCAACGACTTTGGCTTTCTCTGCCAGTGGAGTTGTTTTTTCCACGGCAGTCTTGCGTGTGTGAAACTTCATATATTTCATAAACAACTAAAAACACTAACCTAAAAGAATCTATAGATGGTAAAGACAAATCATCTTGACAGAATCATGCGGGAATAGGCTCAACCATGTACGGACTTCTCCTACATCGCAAATCATATTGGACTCATGCGTAATAAAATGTTAATTGACCAAAATCTTTTGCACACTCAACACTCCTTTATACTCGAAACTAATGGGGCATTCATATGAGTATTTTTGTGTTGTGATATGAGATCTTAGCATTGTATTTATATGGACTTAACCCTAATGAATCTTCCCATAATAATGGCATTAGGATTCCTTGCAGTCCAAAGATAATTGATGCACCAAATCTCATTCCAAATAGGATAGAATTAGGAGCCTTTAATCCCCAAGGAAATGCAAAATATATTAACTTTACTTGGGGTACAAATTATAGTTATTAAGTAAATCCTAATCTTATATATATTCCAAGCAATCCTTAAATTAACTGTGTAAACCTATTAGTCGTTGGATTATGATCCATCGTCCAACAGTTGCACCAGTGAGAGCCTCTTGGCAGTTTGTGCTCCTTGGAGGAGTGTATCTTTGACTAGTCCACCTTTCTTCGATGCATACTCAGTTGTGTTGCCAAGCCCTTGCCTGGCCAACTCTTTAGCCTCGGCGTAGCGCTCCTCCGCAACCCTTATCACTGTAGAATTCTAACATCTTGCAAAAATCAAGAAATAGAGAGAGAAGGAGTTTGTAGAGAGAAAATGGATATGTGAAGAATGAATTCTCATTAGCTTCCACAATACACTTTACAAAGGGATATAGACTTATAAATAACTGTCTATTACCTAGTCACCGCTCTTACATAACAATGTCATCTACTAATAACTTAATCACTAAGGTAGATTACTTAACCATTAAGGTAAGTATTGATCTGGTGCCTTGAGTGCACTGTGATATGGTGATCGTCTATTATCCTTTACACACCCTTCAAGCTAAAGGGAGAGGATTGAATTGAAAGCTTGGAAGTCAAGGAAGCAAATCTATCTGCAAGTAAAGACTTGGTGAATATGTCTGCAATTTAAAGTAATGTATTGACATGATGCACTATGATATGGCCGAGAAGAACTTTCTTTCGAATGTAGTGGTAATCCAGTTCTACATGTTTAGTTCTAGCATGGAAAACTGGATTGAATGCAAAAGCAATAACATTCTTGTTATCACTTTTTTTTTTTGGAGTCTTGAGCAGTGGGAAAGAAATGTCCTGCGAAATCTTGCAAACCCAAGTCAATTCTGCAGTAGTGTTGGCTAATGACCTGTATTCAGCCTCTGTGGAAGACTGAACTACTGTACATTTCTTCTTTGCACTCCAAGAAATTAGATCCCAAAAACACACAATAGCCACTTGTCGACCTTCTATCCACTGGACAACCTGCCTAATCATCATCTGACCAAGTTGTGAGAATATGTAAACCTTTAATAAACTAGAGACCTGAATCAACCGAGCCCTTCAAGTACCTGAGAATTCTTTTAACAGCTTGTAGGTGTATAGTTTGAGGACTGTGCATATGTTGACAAACTTGATTAACTGCAAAAGATAAATTAGGTTTTGTCCATGTCAAATACTGAAGTGCACCAACAATTGACCTATATGCAGTGGGTTCAGAAAGTATAGTGCCTGAATGATCCAACTTAGTTGATCCAACTAGAGTATTACAAGGTTTAACACCAAGCATGTCACTCTTTTTCAACGGATCCACTTGTCGACCTTCTATCCACTGGACAACCTGCCTAATCATCATCTGACCAAGTTGTGAGAATATGTAAACCTTTAATAAACTAGAGACCTGAATCAACCGAGCCCTTCAAGTACCTGAGAATTCTTTTAACAGCTTGTAGGTGTATAGTTTGAGGACTGTGCATATGTTGACAAACTTGATTAACTGCAAAAGATAAATTAGGTTTTGTCCATGTCAAATACTGAAGTGCACCAACAATTGACCTATATGCAGTGGGTTCAGAAAGTATAGTGCCTGAATGATCCAACTTAGTTGATCCAACTAGAGTATTACAAGGTTTAACACCAAGCATGTCACTCTTTTTCAACGGATCCAAAGCATACTTTGTTTGATGCAAAAATAAACCTTTATCATTTCTCTAGACTTTAATACCCAAGAAGTAATAGATGTCTCCCAAATCTTTAACTGGAAACAATGCTTGCAATTTATAAAAAATAGATCTACATACTTGAGATGAGCTACATGTGATGATGATATCATCAACATATACTAGGATAAATGTGATAGTGCTATCCCTTTTGATGAGTAAGCTAGTGTCAGAATATGAAGAAGTAAAACCTAGAGAAAGAATGGCACTGTAAAAAGTTTCATACTAGGCTCTGGGAGCCTGTTTTAAATCATAGAGTGATCTTCTGAGTTTGCAAACATGGGAAGGTTTAGCTAAGTTAATGAAACCAGGAGGCTGAACCATGGAAACATCTTCTTTGAGAGCACCATGCAAGAAATCATTGCTAACATCAAGTTGATGAATGAACCAATCATAACTGACAACAATAGACAACAAAATTCTAATTGTAGTTGGCTAGGCTACAGGACTAAAAGTCTTTGAAAAGTCAAGTCCTTCTTGTTGATCACCCTTAGCCACAAGTCTAGCCTTGTACCTTTTTATAGTGTCATCAACCCTATGTTTAATTTTAAAAACCCACTTGCATCCAACTAAATTGTATTGAGGGTTGGGGGGAACTAACTCCCAAGTTCCAGTAGTTTGAAGAGCTTAGAACTCATCTTTCATTGCTGCCATCCAATGAAGATTCTTAAAAGCATGTAAGTAAGTTGTAGGAGTAGTTGGAAGTGTGGTTAGAGTAAGGGTGGTTCGGTATGAGATTCCAAACCAAAAGTGGAATCCTAAATCCCAAATCGAAAGTTTTTAGGACAGGTATTTGAAGACCAATCCCAAACCAAAATTTCTGTATTCCCAATTTTCGGTATTTCGGGATGGTTCGGTATTCCCAAATTTCATACAAATTGAAATAGCAATCATTCATACCAAGTTAAATTAACATGCAACCAAAATAAAATAAGTAACAAACCCAAAAGCAAAAAAAATAAGTTACAAACCTAATATGTTCGAAAACTAATAATACAATGTTTTTTGATTTCGTGTTGAAGAAATAGACACATTTGTGGGAGGTTCGTACCGACATATGTGGCAATAAAGGACTTTGGTTACTCCTGTAGACCACACCAATTATATTGCTACTAGTAGTTAGCATCAGTTCAAACGTAACACACACACACACACACACACACATATATATATATATAATGCATCACAAATTTAAACAACATGATAACCCCTTTTCCCTGGTCATTTCTCAGTGTGTTTGAATGTCCATCCTAGACAAGTGTTACAATGAAATTCAAAATGCTTGCATAAGCCACTGATTAGTAGGCTTGTTCTTATAGTTTTTGACGAAACCTCGACGGCACAAGAAAATTTATTAACCATAACACAGAAAGATACAAAATAACTTCCAAAACTAACTACAACACAAGTATAAATTAAAATATGAAACCATAAAGCGTAGTTTTTATTTGTTGGATCTTGCCCTAGGCATAACATGGAGTCCAGTTGCATTGCTCGAACAAAATTTTGATAT